CTATTCTATCTATCTTCTTCTTTTGACCACCCCATAAAGCCAAGCGGCAATATGCATAAAAACAATGATACACCAACTGCATACCACTCAGTATAAAAGGTAGGATACCCTGACCCAGTTTCCAAAAACTTTTGATTACAGCATTTATAACAAATGTCTTATAAAGGGTAGAATGAAGAATAATTATCTAAATCTCAGCTATAACTTACCCGGTGGCTCAACAATAAAGAATCCTCCTGCCAATACAGGAGACTCAAGAGACAAGGGTTGGATCCTGGGGTTGGTAAGATCCCCTGGAAAAAGGAATGGCTACCCACTTCAGTATTCTTGCTTGGAGAATTCCATAGGCAGAGAGACAGAAGAGGCTGATGGGCTACATACAGTCCATGGGGTCGCAAAGAATCAGACAGGAATGAAAAACTAACACACTGTAACTAGATGACATTTATGCTTTATGTGTGTGTGTGTTTAGTCACTCAGTCGTATCCAACTCTTTGCAGCCCCATGGACTATAGCCCACCAGACTACACTGTCCATGGAGTTTTTCAGGGAAGAACACTGGAGCGCGTTGCCTTTTCCTACTACAGATCTTCCCAACTCAGAGATCAAACCCATGTCTCTGGCATCTCCTGCATTGGCAGGCAGGTTCTTTACCACTGATCTACCTGGGAAGCCCAAAGCTTTATATTAATTGTTGCTCTTCAGTCACCAAGTCTTGTCCAACTCTGCAACCCCATGGACTAAGGCACACCAGGCTTCCTGATCCTTCACTATCTCCCAGAGTTTGCTCAAACTCATGTCCATAAGTCAGTGATGCCATCCAACAGTCTCATCCTCTGTCATTCTTTTCCTCTTGCCCTTAATCTTTCCAGCATCAGGGTCTTTTCGAATGAGTCGATTCTTCACATCAGGTGGCCAAAGTACTGGAGCTTCAGCATCAGTCTTTCTAATGAATACTAAGGATTGATTTCTTTTAGGATTGACTGGTTTGATCTCCTTGCTGTCCAAGGGACTCTCAAGAGTCTTCAGCAGCACCACAATCCAAAAGCATCAATTCTTCGGCACTGGTCCAATTCTTCTTTATGATCCAACTCTCACATCCCTACATGACTACTGGAGAAAACATAGCTTTGACTACACAGACCTTTGTCCACAAAGTGATGTTTCTGCTTTTTAATATGCTGGCTAGGTTTGTCATAGTTTTTCTTCCAAGGAGCAAGCATCTTTTAATTTTGTGGCTGCAGTCACCATGTGCAGTGATTCTGGAGCCCCCCAAAATAAAATCTGTCACTGTTTCTACTTTTCCCCCAGCTATTTACCATGAAGTGATGGGACTGGATGCCACGATCTTAGTATTTTAAATGTTGAATTTTAAACCAGCTTTTCACTCTCTTTCATCTTCATCAAGAGGCTCTTTAGTTCCTCTCTGCTTTCTGCCGTAAGAGTGGTGTCATCTGCATATCTGAGATTATTGACATTTCTCCTGGTAATCTTGATTCCAGCTTGTGAGTCTTTTAGCCTGGCATTTTGCATGATGTACTCTGCATATGGGCTTCCCAGGTGGCACTAATGGTAAAGAACTCGCCTTACAATGCAAGAGATGTAAGAAACACAGGTTCAATCCCTGGGTCAGGAAGATCCCCAGGAGGGCATGGCAACCCACTCCAGTATTCTTGCCTACAGAATCCCATGGACAGGGGAGCCTGGTGAGCTACAGTCCATAGGTTGCAAAGAGTTGGACACAACTGAACTGACTTGGCAGGCATGCGCAAGTTCTGCATATAAATTAAATAGGCGGGGTGAAAATAGGTGGAACGACAATATACTACCTTGTACTCCTTTCTCCATTCTGAACCAGTCCATTGTTCCACCTTTGGTTCTAACTGTTGCTTCTTGTTCTACATGCAGGTTTCTGAGGACACAAGTAAGGTGCTCTGGTATTCCCATCTCTTTTAAGAATTTTTCAGTTTGTTATGATCTACAGTCAAAAGCTTTAGTGTAGTCAAAGCAGACTTTTTTTTGGGAATTCCCTTGCCTTTTCTATGATCCAATGGATGTTGGCAATTTGATCTCTGGTTCCTCTGCCTTCTCTAAATCCAGCTTGTACATCTGGAAGTTCTTGGTTCATGTACTATTGAAGCCTAGCTTGAAGGATTTTGAGTATTACCTTGCTAGCATGTGCAATGAGCACAACTGTATGGTAGTTTGAACATTCTTTGGCATTGCCTTTCTTTGGGACTGGAATGAAAACTGACCTTTCCCAGTACTGTGGCCACTGCTGAGTTCATATTTGCTGGCATATTGAGCGCAGCACTTTAACAGCATCATCTTTTAAGATTTGAAATAGCTCAACTGGAATTCCATCACCTACACTAGCTCTGTTCACAGTGATGCTTCCTAAGGCTCACTTGACTTCACACTCCAGGATGTCTGGTTCTAGGTGAGTGACCACACCATCATGGTTCTCCAGACCATTAAGATCATAGTTCTTCTGTGTATTCGTGCCATGTCTTCTTAATCTTTCCTGCTTCTGCTAGGTCCTTGCTGTTTCTTTTATTTTGCTCCTCTTTGCACGAAATGTTCCCTTGGTATCTCCAATTTTCTTGAAGAGATCTCTAGTCTTCCCCATTCTATTGTTTTCTTCTATTTATTTGCATGGTTCCCTCAAGAAGACTTTCTTCTCTCTCTTTGCTATTCTCTGGAACTCTGTATTCAGTTGGGTGTATCTTTCCCTTTCTCCTTTGCCTTTAGCTTCTCTTCTTTACTCAGCTATTTGTAAGCCCCTCTCAGACAACCACTTTGCCTTCTTGCATTTCTTTCTCCTAGGGATAGTTTCGGTCACCACCTCCTGTACAATGTTACAAACTCCCATCCACAGTTCTTCAGGCACTCTGTCTACCAGATCTAATCCCTTGAATCAGTGTGTCACCTCCACTGTATAATCATAAGGGATTTGATTTAGTTCATACCTGAATGGTCTGCAGTCCAGGGTTAGAAGAGTCGGAAACGACTGAGTGACTGAACACCACCACCACCACCTGAATGGTCTAGCGGTTTTCTCTACTTTCATCAATTTAAGCCTGAATTTTGCAAAAGGAGCTGATGATCTGAGCCACAATGAGCTTCAGGTCTTGTTTTTGCTGACTACATAGAGCTTCTCCTTCTTCGGCTGCAAAGGATATATCAATCTGATTTCAGTATTGACCATCTGGTAATGTCCATGTATAGAGTCATCTCTTGTGTTGTTGGAAGAGTGTGTTTGCTATGACCAATGTGTTCTCTTGACAAAACTGTAAGCCTTTGCCCTGCTTCATTTTGTATTCCAAGGCCAAGCTTGACTGTTACTCTAAGTATCTCCTGACTTCCTACTTTTGCATTCCAATCCCTAATGATGAAAACAACATATTTTTTTGGTGTTAGTTCCAGAAAGTCTTGTAGGTCATCATAGAACCATTTAATTTCAGCTTCTTCAGCATCAGTGGTTGGTGCACAGATTTGAATTACTGTGATGCTGAATGGTCTGCCTTGGAAACGAACTGAGATCATTTTTGTCATTTCTGAGATTGCACCGAAGTACTGCATTTAGGACTCTTCTGTTGACTAAGAAGCTCTTAGGAACAAACTAAACAGTAACGAAACATTGATTTCTGCCAAAGATAAACTGATTTTATGCACATGTCTCCCTAATTTCTTGATTTGGGAGCGTCGATCCAAAGTAAATTATCAACACTACCAGAGTCTAACTTTTATTGACAGCAAATGATAGTTGTTTTTTTTTGCCTGTCCACTCCTATTTGGAAAAGCTATGCAACATTTCCTTCCAACTCAGGTCACATGTACCAAAAATAATTATAATATTAAGTGCCTACTATGTGCACTCACTGATCTAAGCATTACATAGCTATTAAAAATCAACAGTCATAACTCAACAAAAAGACAATCTAGTTTAAAACCAAGCAAAGGACTTAAATAGACATTTCTCCAAAGAAGATACACAAAAGACCAATAAGTGCATGAAAAGATATTAAACATCACCAGTCATTAGTAAGGAAATGCAAATAAAATTCACAATACCATTTCATACCTACAAAGATGGCTATAATCAAAGAAAAAAGGAAAATAACAAGTATCAGCAAAGATGTAGAGAAACTGGAACCCTCGTGCACTGCTGGGTTTATTTTACTGAGAATGTAAAATAATATAGCCACTGTGGAAAACAGCATGGCAGTTCCCCAAAAAGAAATCTACATGATTCAGCAATTCCACCCGCAGGAATAAACCCAAAAGAATCGAAAACAGGTATTCAAACAAAAAATGGTACATGAATGTTCAAAGCAGCATTACTCATAACAGCCAAAAGGCAGAAATGAAACAACTGCCCATCAACAGAAAAAATGGATAAACAAAATATGATATATCTACACAGTGGGACAGTATTCAGCTACAAAAATGAATGAAGTACTGACACACAGTACAACATGGATGAACCTCAAAAACACTGTTACATCAAAGAAGCCAAACACAAAAAATCACATATTACATGATTCCTTTTACTTGAAATATCCAGAACAGGTAAATTTGCAGAGATTGGTGGTTAACAGAGACAGGGCGGGGGGTTGGGGGGAAGAATGAGGAGAGACTGCATAATGGGTATACAGCCTCCTCTGGGGTTGATGTAACAGTTCTTGAATTATATACAGTGATGATTGTACAACACAGTGAATTTATTAAATACCACTGAACTGTATACTTTAAAAGAGTTAATTTTATGCATTGTGGATTTCATTTCAGAAAAAAAAAAAAAATCCAATAGTCCTGACAATCCTGTGCAGATTCAGAAACACAGACAACAGGCTCAGAAAAATTACTTGAGAGAGCCAGCAGAAGAGCTGCGCAGCTCCTTCCCGGACGCTGGGGACCCTCTACCTCTCTCCAGATGGAAAGGTGACATGACTTGGTGGTAGATGTGAGAAGTGAGACGTGAGAAGTTGGGTCCCAGGATGACAGAACCCGAGACCCTGGCCCTGCTGGAAGTGAAGGGGCCTGAGGCCCTGGAGAAGAGCCCACCCCAGGCCTTGGTCCCCAGTGGCCGGAAGCTGGAAGGGGAAGATGGGGTTGAGTCCCTTGGAGCTGAGTCCTCTAGAGTGGGGTCTTTGGCTGAGTCTCCCACAGCCAGAGAGGGGACCGAGGATGGTCTAGACAGCACAGTAAGTGAGGCTGCCACTTTGCCTTGGGGAACTGGCCCCCAGCCCAGTGCCCCGTTCCCAGATCTCCCCGGCTGGAGGAACATTGAGCCTGAACCCCCTGAGTCAGAGCCACCCACCAAACTAGAGGAGTTGCCCGAAGATGAAGCCAGCCTGCTTCCCGAGAAGGCAGCCCGGGCCTTCGTGCCCATCGACCTACAGTGCATTGAGCGGCAGCCCCAGGAGGACCTCGTTGTATGCTGTGAGGCCAGCGAGAGCGAGCACCGCCGGACCTTCCTGCCTTCCCGGGCCACCCACCCTGAGCCCCCGGAGTGCAAGTGGGCCGAAGCAGTGGTGAAGCCGCCTGGCCACTCCTGTGGGGGCTGTGGGGGCTGTGGGGGCCGAGAGGTGCTGAGAGCCGTGGCCTCGATGGGAGGCACCCTCATCCTCTTCCCCTGCCTGCTCTACGGGTCATATGCCTTCCTGCCCTTCGATGCCCCACGCCTGCCGACCATGAGCTCCCGCCTCATCTATACCTTGCGCTGTGGGGTCTTCGCCACCTTCCCCATTGTACTGGGGATCCTGGTGTACGGGCTGAGCCTGTTGTGCTTTTCTGCCCATCGACCCTTTGGGGAGCCACGGCGGGAGGTGGAGATCCACTGGCGGTATGTGGCCCAGTCGGTCCAGCTCTTCATCCTCTACTTCTTCAACTTGGCCGTGCTTTCCACCTACCTGCCTCAAGATACCTCAAACTGCTCCCTCTACTCACTGGTCTCTTTGCCATCTCCCGGCTCATATACTGGCTGACCTTCGCTGTGGGCCGCTCCTTCCAAGGCTTTGGCTACGGCCTGACGTTCCTGTCTCTGCTGTCCGTGCTGATGTGGAACTTCTACTACATGTTCGTGGTGGAACCTGAACGCATGCTCACTGCCTCTAAGAGCCGCCTGGACTACCCTGACCATGCCCGCTCAGCCTCAGACTACAGGCCCCGCTCCCGGGGCTGAGCTGCCCCGCCCCCTCTGTTCCTGGGCGGGATGAACCCACCTACTGCCCTGACAGGGGTGCCATCCAGAGCCTGGGGTGCTCCCCTTCACCTTAGGAGCCTGGGACAATTATGTGGGAGGGACTTAAACAGTCTTTCAGGGAAAGAGGTGGACAGTCGTGTTCCTTAAGAATGCTGAGGACACGGGAGCAGGGGCAGAGGCATGGTTCCTTCCTTAGCAGCCTCTGACCACTGCCACAGGGCCCACAAAGGCTGGACTCTGCTCCCCACTCTGCAACCTCCGGCCAGAGGCAGCCGGTAGAGCATAGCCAAATCTCTGACCATTTCTGTGCTGGGTGTCTAAGCAGAGGGCTTCCAAGAGACTGTAAACATGCCTATACCTTAGGTAAAGGCTGGGCATCAGATCAAATAGGACTTTCCTATTTGGTGAAAAACTTTCTGGGGACCTGGGTTCAGGACCCTCCATGACTGGCCTTTGTAGGCCCTTTAGCCTCAGCCAAGTCCGTTACAGCTGCTCTAGCCCAGAGTGGCTGACTCCTGTCTTCCAACCCTTTAGGTCCCTGTAACTTTGCACCTCCAAAGTGCCCAGTCATACCTCTCCTGTGGGAAGAGGCGCAGACAGGGAAACCTGCTTCCTAAGAGGTGTGTGTGTGTGTGTGTGCGTGCATGCCCACACACGTGGTGGCTGGGAGTGGTTGGAAGGCATGGTGGTTGATGTTAACACCGCTTGAATGCGTGTAATAATAAACGATTAACACCAAAAAAAAAAAAAGAAAAATTACTTGACCAAATCCACAGAGGGAGTACTAGACAGAACAGCAGAGATTCAGAGCCAGATTTCTGCTCTTTTTTCTTAATGTTGATAGAAAGTAGGACCTTCACAGCCCTTCTCCCCATCAAATAAAATTTTATGCCAGGGACTTTCCTGGTGGTCCAGTAGTTAAGAATCTGCCTGCCAATGCAGGGGACATGGGTTGGATCCCCAATCTGGGAAGCTTCCACATGCCACAGGGCAACTAAGCCTGTGCACCACAACTACACAAGTTCACGTGCCTTAGAGCCTGTGCTCCACAACAGGAGAAGCCACTGCAACAAGAAGCACGTGCATCGCAACTAGAGAGTAAGCTTCACTCACTGTAACAGGAGAATAACATCACATAACAATATTGCGTAGTCTAACTTAATGCATCATCATAACATTATGGGTTGGCAGACAAATGACAAATGTCAAACAACTTTTAAAAGATCTTCAAGGAATTCCTTGGCAGTTAACTAAACTTTCACTGCTAGGGCTGGAGTTCGAGCCCTGGTCAGGGAACTATGATCCTGAAAGCCTTGTGGCATGGCCAAAAAATTAAAAACAAAAAAAGACCTCTATAAAATACAAGCTTTGAATAGTGAAAGAGGTGAAAATGATTACCCAACAAAGCTCTGTTTAAAGTACTATCAACTTAACAAAGAAATTAGATAGTCTTCTCAAGAAACCGAGTGTATACTGACTGGTAAGGTGTAACAAAACATCAAGTTTGCATCTGAGTTAAATGGCTGACTCAGTCTTTGGTGGTTCTGTACCATAGTACCACCTTATAGGACCACTGAGGTCCTGTAACACCTTAATTTCCTGTCATTCCATCATAGTTATAAATAAGCTTCACTGTTTCCATCAAATGTGAGGGAGCTCTAATGATGAGATCCTTATCCTGAAAGCTTGTGCAGGACATGCAGGTAGGTTATGATGGCAATTTACTTTATATAAAGATATAAGAGGTTATTAACCAAAGTCAGCAGAGAGTCACTTCCACCACACACTAGTGCACATTTTTAATCAATGTCAGTAGAAAATACCAAGAAGAGCCAGCAGTGGGCTGACCACACTGCATGTTGTAATCAGAGACTAAGTAGATAATTTAAAGTACTGCTCTACTGGGCTTTCCAGCTGGCTCAGTGGTAAAGAACTTGCCTGCCGATGCAGGAGACGAGGGTTCGATCCCTGGGTCAGGAAGATCCCCTGGAGGAGGAAATGGTTACCCACTCCAGTATTCTTACCTGGAAAACCCCATGGAAAGAGGGCTGGTGGGCTGCAGTTCATGGAGTTGCAAACAGTTGGACACAACTTAGTGACTGAGCACACAGGCATTGCTCTACTACTGATGGTAACCTTAAACAGAAGCAAATCATTTGCTACTGGACAGATCACATGTATTCAAGAGAGGAAAGACTGTAGGTTTTACAAACAGGTCTTTCCAGTTTTATACAGGTCAATAAGAAGTAACATCATTGGCAGTATCTTCAAGTACAAAAGATATCTTCACTTATCTAACATGACCCATCTATAATCATATAATGGCTTCATCACAAACCACCTTCTCCTCAATCCCAACACCCTTTAACCAACTCTAAAGAACACACAGACACAAACACACTCCAAAACTAGTAATCATGTCATTTTGCTAATTAAGTAATATAAAAAAATCCTAACCAACAATCCAAGGTTGTCATTTAGGGTCTGCACTAGTAAGAATCGCTGTGTAACTCCTAACCACAAATTAGTCATAGGACAATGACTGTAGAGGCCTTAAGCTGGTGGTTATGTTCTCAGATCCTACAGAATATTTTAAGGCCTAGGGCTGCTGCAGAGTCAGTGCAGAAGATACATGTATATTTCAGCAACCCACCACCACAATCAACCACCATGGTAAATCTAAACATGAAGAGTAAATGCTGGCCTCTGGCCAATCTTTATATCCAGCAACCTAAAGATAAAGTGTTTGGATATTTAAAGTTAATATCCAAACACTTTAAATCTTTTGGAGATATTTCAGAACCAACACACCACATCCAAGGTAAGTATAAACTCACTAAGATTCCGAAAGAGGCTCCCAGAAAATGGCATGTAAGCCTGAAGTCCCTTTGTAACCCAATAATCTCAAGAAGCAAGATACAGGCATAATTAACCTCCTTGTGACAATTAGAAAAAATGAAATTGGAGGTTAGACCCATCCTAAGAAACAGTTCACTGTCAGCCTGCAGCTATTTCAATCTACTATATTTGGTACTATGTGACAACTCTGTCTCTCTCAAATACATAAAGGGAGGGAGAGAAAATCGACTCAAACAGTACTTCCTGTATTACAGCTACCTTCCTGAAATATTTAAAGCATATAGTAGGCACTCAAACTCTTTTCAATTAATAAAGGATATAGAAGGTAAGCAATAACCAGCAGCTCATACATGTCCCTTGGACAGCAAGATCAAACCAGTCAATCCTAAAGGAAATCAATCCTGAATATTCATTGAAAGGACTGATGCTGAAGCTCCAATACTTTGGCCACCTGATGCGAAGAGCCAACTCATTGGGAAAGATTCTGATGCTGGGAAAGACTGAGGGCAGGAGGAGAAGGAGGTGACAGAGGATGAGACGGCATCACTGACTCAATGGACACGAGTTTGAGCAAACGCCGGAATATGGTGAAGGACAGGGAAACCTGGCGTGCTGCAGTCCATGGGGTCGCAAAGAGTTGGACACGACTGAGTGACTGAACAACAACAACATATATATAAAATATTCTGAAATGAAAAAAGCACCCTAAATTTTTCAACCAAAGGCAGCAAAGTGAACTGAAGATGATCTACACTACTGACACATTTTTCTTTTTCAATATTTATTTTTATTTTGGCTGCACCAGGTTGCAGCACACGGCATCTTTAGTTATGGTATGTGAGCTCTTAGCTGCAGTATGTAGGATCTAGTTCCCTGACCAGGGGTCAAACCTGGGTCCCCAGCATTGGGAGTGTGGAGTCTTAGCCATTGGACCACCAGGGAAGAACCAGACTTTTCAAATATATACACAAATAAGATTCTTAAGATGATCATCCACAGTTATAGGTATGACTGGAAAAATCTGTGTATAACAAATGGTCCCTTCCACACTGGATACATTTCATACTCTAAAACAGAAACTGCTATTTTCTTCATCAACTAACGCTCCTACAAGATTTTCAAAAGTACTTTTATTGCTAACTTGAACTCTATTTTAAGGTGATTGCTAGATGTCTTGATACATATATATAATTAGACAGAAGCTAAGAGAGAGCCATAAAAACTGGACAAATCATTTCCTGTGCAAGTGTCCTGCAAACTGGACAGAAAAAGTCAGTAGAGAAAACCACAGCCCTCAAACATAAGGTCAAGTACTACCTTCAGGGATTCCCTGGATGCTCAGGGAAGGTAAAAAATCCACCTGCCAATGCAGGAAATACGGTTCTATCCCTGGTCAGGGACGATCCCATATGCCTCGGAGCAACAAGCCCGTCAGCCACAACTACTGAGCCTGTGATCTTGAGCTCAGGAGCCACAACTACTGAGCCCAGGTGCTACATCTACTGAAGTTCACATGCCTAGAGTCTGTTCCGCAACAAAAGAAGCCACAACGAGAAGCCCCAGCACTGCAACTAGAGAGTAGCCCCTGATCCGTGCAACCAGAGAAAAGCCCATGCAGCAACGAAGACCCTGCATTGCCAAAAAATAAATAAAATTATATATAAAAAAGTAACCAAACTGCCACAAAAACTTAAACATAGGATAATCGTATGAACAGATATTGAACAGGTATTTGTACACTAATGTTCACAGCAGCATTACTCACAATAGCCAAAAGGTGGAATCAACCTGTGTCCAGTTATAGATGAATGAATAAATGAAATGTGGTATATGCATAATATGATGGAATATTACTCAGTTCTAAAAAGGAGTGAACTTCTGACAAGGATAAAACACTGATGAACCTTGAAGACAATGTGCTAAGTGAAATAAGCCAGACACAAATGGACAATTACTATATACTTCCACTTATGTGCAGTACCTAGAATAATCATATTCCTAGAGACAGAAAAGTGCAATAGTGATTGCCAGGAGCTGGGGAAAAAGAAGAATGAGGAGTCATTCTTTAACAGGAATTTTGGTTTGGGATAATAAGAATGTTCTGGAGTGGGATGGTGGTG